AAAATCACAGGTGCCGAAAGTAAACAGAGTCACAAAAATGGAGTTGTGTTTTTGGCATTTTGTACTAAAATCTGGTACAAAACTGTAATCCACAGGTGGATTTGCATTGACTGTTTGTGCAGCTTTATATACTAAAAGGGAAATGCGGGATGACTTTGATCATCAGGTGAATTTGTACTTATCGCAACTGGTTAGTGTTTGAGTTAGCAGTCACCTCAGTGAGAAACACTGATTTGTTTTAATATTGCGAGATCTTGTTCCACCCCGAAACCTCGGTGTACCACAGCTTCAGGATCATGGGTTTAGCATGTGGTATGTTAACCATTTTGTGCCCATGTCTTTGAATGTCGGAAAAAGGAGAAATTAGCTTGTGGAACAAAACTGTGACAAAATAGAAGTCTGTTCAATGGATTGGAAAATACAGACATAAAGTGATTCAAATCAAAAATCATCATTGGACCTTTCTGTCTACTTTTTAGGTCGAGCATTATTATTTTTTTGATTTGATCATATATACTTCAGTTTTAGTCTCTACAATGTCCAACTTTTCTTTTTTTTTTTTTTTTTTTTTTAGAAAGGAATTATTCACATTTTTCACATTGATAAAATTATGCAAATGACCGGATGGCTGAGGCTCCAACATCGGGCTTTCTACAACAGGACAGACACTTTAAGGTTACCTGACAGGGGCACTCAGGGAAAATAATTGGCTTTTCCGTCGCCAGGTCCACATGCAAATACAACCAGAGAGCCGTTCTGTACCTTTACTGCCATCATTAGCATCAGTGCAAGTGGCAGAGGAGTTTGATTTCTGCCTGCGCGAAGCGATCTCAGACCACAGCTATCAGCAGCTCCCCTGACACATACAAGCCATGCAGTATTAAACAGATGCAGAGTCATGGGGCAAGAGGTTGGGCCTGCTGTGTTTGTGTTCCTATACCACACAAGTCCGCATGCCCGATGGGCAGCTGCGCGGCCTGCAAAAGATTATTGATTCCCCAGATAAAACCAGTGGTTCATGAGCTGCAAAAGCCATTGTACAGTGATGGATTTTTTTTTTTACTTTCTAAATTAGGCATTCAGAGGGTGCTCTTTGCACCAGGAGAATTTAAGCAAAGTCTGGAAGCTCAAATAGTCTCTATCACTCTTCATGCATGTGGTGTGTATGTGTGTGTCTTTGTTAGCGAGAACGGTTCAAGGCAGCGGTGCATGTGAGCATGTCCTATGCATATGAATAAACACTCCTTGGGCTGCATTTGATGGAAAATGGTTTCAGCTCTCACTTCTCAGTTCATGCTAAGCAGAAATGCAGAGGGAGTGAAAGGCTATTGATTGTATCTCTTTGCGGGATTGTCCAGCAAGAGAAAATAGACATTTACTCACTGAAGGTGTTGTATTACTAACATGGTCTCAAATTGAGTCTAGAGCTACTCTTGGTTCAAAAATGTTATTCTAATGTGTTCATTTAGCAGGAGAAAGATGTGAGGGCATTTTTTGGAAATTACATTTTTTATGCATTAAACTCTTACTTTGTGTGTGTTTTGAAGATTTCTTTGCCTAGGCCATCTGGTTTTTAATGTTTCATATTAAGAACATACAATGGTTTGCAAAAGTATTCATATCCCTTGATGTTTTTCACATTTTGTCATTTTGCAATCTCGAGCGTTAGTATATTTTATTTTGACATTTTTTGATCCAATACGAAGAAACGGATAATTGTGAAGTGGAAAAAATGATACATGGTTTCCAAGGAATTTTCAAATAAAACACAACCAAGCAATATGTCAATACTTTGCGGTGCCACTTGAGCCATTCCACACCAAGATTATGTTTTGATTTCTGATGCAGTGCTAGTTCTATGTCTAGGGTCAATGTCCTAATTAACCTCTGCCCCGAGACTCAAGTCTTTTACAGCCTCCAGTAATATTGATTTGCCATCTTATTAACTGACATCAGCTCACCTGTCTCTGTTGAAACACTGCAGACTCACACCATGATACTGTCACCCTCATGCTACAAAGTAGGAATGCTTTTCTCAGAGGGGTATGGGATGTCATTCCTCCACATATAGTAGTTTTGCTCAAAATTATATATCTTTTTTACTTCACCCCTCATTAAAGGGTTAGGGTAAGGGTTTGCTGTGTCACTTTCATAGATTTATCCTTTATTTATGCTGAGAAGGAAAGACAAGTCAACAGTATTTACATATTAGGTAACTTCTAAAGACAATTGACATATTGACAGATTTTTTTAGCAGAATAAAAGTAAAAGGCCTGTCGTCAAAACACTGTAAATGTTTTTATTTAGAAAAGATTTTGAATGCTGACTTTACTTTTCCATCTACGGTTTTGTTACTTTGTTTGTTTTGAAGAAAATGCTTTGCAATGTCAAGCTATGTAATGAAATGTAAAAATAAATAAATTAGGGTCTGACTATGTTTGTAAGACAAACTTACTTGAATTGTGTGTCAGTATTACACCGTGTTTCAAATTATTATGCACGTGACATTTTCTCAGATTTTCTTAAATGGTCACTGCAAATGATGGTCAGTATAATTTTTAAGTCACAAACTATTACAGTATAAATCTAATTTTACTGAACAAAGCTCCCCATGAGAACAGTATCAAAAATAAAAAAAACTCAAAATGCACTGTTCCAAGTTATTATGGCCAGCAGATTTTCAAAACATTCTATGAATGACAAAGAACTGCAAACGGTTTTTCTTTGAATGTGCAGCATTAAGTGGTCTAAAATCAAAAGCTATTTCAATCAAAAACATCTTAACAGACCAAGTTACATGTTAACATAGGACCGCTTCTTTGATATCACCTGCACAATTCTTGCATCCATTGAACTTGTGAGTTTGTGGAAAGTTTCTGCTTGAATTTAATTTATTTGCAGGATGTCAGAAAAGTTTCCCAGAGCTGTTTTGATATGAACTGCATTCCACCCTCAGAGCTTCTGCTTGAGGAAACTCCAAAGGTTCTCAATAGGGTTGAGGTCAGAGGAGGATGGTGGCCACACCATGAGTTTCTCCCCTTTTATGCTCATAGCAACCAATGACACAGTGGTATTCCTTCCAGCATGAGATGGTGTACTGTGATGCATGAGGAGGATTTTGGTACGGAAGGTACGGCTCTTCTTTTTGAACCATGTAAGAAAGCGATCAGTCAGAAAGTTCAAATACTTTGCTGAGGTCATTTTCACACCTTCAGTGACTCTGACCAGCTCTCTCTCCATGATTTCGGCCCTAAAAATGATTCCACCATCTCTTGCTGACGTCACAGCTGTGTTGGGACGTGGTGGCCGTCCACCATCTATCCACTACTGCGTCCATCTGGACCATCCAGGATTACACAGCAGTCATCAGTGAACAAGTCTGTCTGAAAATTAATCTTCATGTTCAGCTGGGCCCATTGCCACCGTTTCTGCTTGTGTGCTTGTGAGCCCTGGCTAGGGTTGGCCGAATAACAGGTTGATGCACCGTAAGCCTCTGGAGGATCCTCCACCTTCAGAGGCACCAGCACAGGGCTGGGCAATTCCAGGTCTCGAGGGCCAGTCTCCTGCAACATTTAGATGTCTTTCTACTTCAACACACCTGAGTCAAATAATGAGGTCATGAGCAGAACTCTGGAGAACTTGACTGTATTTAGGATGTGATTCAGCTGTGTTGGACCACTGTGACATATGAGAGCTGCAGGACACTGGCCCTCGAGGACCAGGATTGCCCACCCCTGCACTAGCAGCTTCAAATAACTGTTTGCTGCTTTGTAAGGGCATTTTAACAGCTGCTCTCTTAATTCGATAAATTTATCTAACAGAAACCTTCCTCATTGTGCCTTTATCTGTACAAACCCATCTTCATTCTGAATCTGCCACTTATCTCTTCACAGTACAATAACGATTCAGTTTTCATTAAATATTTAATGTCTTCATACCTTGTCATACGGCACTACACTATTTGATGATTTTCGTCAGCAGAGATCCTTTCTCTTTCCCCTACTGCTTGAAACCTGCAGCCTGCTTAATAATGTGGAACATCCTTGTGAAGTGGATTTTCTTCAATTGAGTTCACCAGATAAACTAATCAACCAGCTCTCTGAAATTAATTATAGTGATTCAAAGAGCCTTGACACACAATACCATCTATAAATTTAATAGCATAACAACTTAAATTCAATTTTCATAATAATTTAGAACATGGTGTAATTCCACTGACCAGAACAGTTTGGGCAGGATCTGACCTTTGACACATTCCTTGACAGCTCATTGTGTAACTGGATATTTATTTATAATTTTTTTTTATGATTTTCTTCGTGTTGAGTTTTCAAGCCCAAATCTTTACTCTTTATGCAAAATGTGTTTAGAGAAAAGCACTCTTGTTTGAGCACCATGTGCCAAATAAATTATAAAATGAGAGAAGATGTTAAGTGATGACTGAATGTCAAGCTCCAAGTGGTAATCATCACAAATCCATCAGAAAAAATTAAACATGAGCCCGAGGAATGAGAGTGGGAGGCATCTGTGGCATTTCTATGCAGCCGAGCAAAGTATTGTGAAGTTTGACAATTATAAGGAAAAAAGGCATTGTAACTGCAAACTTTGCCTGTCCCCTGAGCACGGAGATAATGTGCACATGTCAATGCCTTGATTTGTATGAGCCCAACAGACAGCTATTAAATTGTTTCTGCAGCTGGTGACAGGCTTCCTGCTGCGAGGACGGGCACATTCACTAAACATAGGTTGACAGGCTTCTTTTTCTTCTCTTTCTTTTCTTCTGCTCTACTTTCTCTGCACTTCCATGCACTATCCATCCATCAACATCACCATAAATCCCTCCCTCTCGTCTGCCCTTGATATGTTTCACTCTTACCCCCCTTCTTCCATCCTCTCTCGATTCTTCGGCCACTTACTACATTTTTCATCGCCATCTTTTCCCTCGTCACCTTCTTCTCCCCCATCCTGTCCTCCACCCATCTCTCCGTGTCCGTCTTCTTTAGCTCATGCAGCAGCAGGCAGCCATCATGGCAGCAACCCATGGAGGTTATATCACGCCTAGCGTGGCCTTCCCTGCCACGCAGATCCACCAGATGGGGGCGCTCAACATCAACAGCCTCCCACCCACTCCCATGACCCCGGTGTCGAGTGAGTTTCATCAGACCCTGGGTGAGCACTCAGTTTCATTCCCTTTCTCTATGTGATGGTGTTTCTCTGCCACGGTAGCAAGCCAAAGCGTCTTTTAATAACGTCTGTGTTATGTTGCCGTGCGTGACGCGCATGTGTGTGTGAGTGTGAAACAAGCTAGATCTGCAGCATGCCCCAAAGAAAGAGTGCCTATTTACCGGTAATCCAAAATTATTCCTCTGGAGGGAAAGGGAAAGTGAGACGAGATTTGCATGTTTATGTTGTTTGCGAATGCTGAGATTTAGGGTTACAGTAGAAGCAGCAGAGTAAAGAACATCTATTACTAAATATACAGATAAGGCATTAATTTCCCTGTAGCATTTTGACCTTGTGCTTTGAGGCACTTGTGCATGGTTTGCATGCAGTTGGGTTTGTTTTCCATAACAAACAGCCTCCATGCACATACATTACAGTGGGAAGGAAAGGACTTTCAAACACCTACCCACTGCCAAAGATTTGCTTATTCAGCAGTTTCATTTTTCTTTGGAAAAAAAAAAAAAAAAAACTTCAAGATTCTTCACTCACCAAAAGCATAAGCCTAAATAAATTATACAGTATCTCAGTCTTTGTTGCGCTCCACTCTCATACTTTGTCATCTCAGCAGTGTTCAGTTTCTACTGCAAAGTCTTTGATAACTTTAAAGCTACTTGTCTGAGAGACACAACCATCAGCAGCACAGAAAGATTTGTTTTAAACGTTCTTTAAAGTCATCGTAGGAATCAAGTTTATACAAAACCTGCGTCACTTTATCAAACTATTGCAGAGCTCTGTGTTTTTTTATCGCAAAAATATTTGTGTTCTTTCTCAGCATGTGCTCGTTGGGTGTACCCACTCTCAACTCCCACCTTCAATCAGAATTTGAAGGGGGAAAAAGAGTAAAGCAGAGGGGGATGAATATGCTTTTTGTATTTTTTGCGATGCAAGAAACAGCTTCAACACATTCTAAAAACAAGAACAGGGTGCACAAGACTTGGTTTTGTTGTTTTCTTCTGTTCAACACTGGGTGAATACAGGCAGAAATACATGCATACATGAAATAATATGTCGGTAACCCTCACCCTGTCTACTCGAACACAAAGTCTATGTTTTTGTGACCATGTGTGCCTGCAGGTACAGGAATGTCTTGTTTGAGAGTGACACCAAAAACACAGCAGAATACAAAAACAATGGGTTGGATCATAAAGAGAAGAAGAAAAAAATAATAATATAATATATCAATGTTGAAGATTTAGTAAATTCCTGTTTTGTTTTTTCCTGAGTCAAATACAATGATGTGGTTTTCTGGATCATTATGTTTCAGCCACTTGTGTCCAGGTTTTCAATCACCTTTACCACCTTGTCAAAAAAAGTTCAGAAAAACCTGGCAGCTACAGAAACTCAAACCTGCTTTGTACTGGATCCTGCTGGGAGATCACTATCATTGTCCAGTTGTAAAGTATAGAGAAATAAACCCTAGTTCCAAAATGAACACTTTTAATCTCCACTGTATACAGCTGTCCACCTGGTCTGTGAACACTTTTTTTTTTTTTACGTCTACAAATCATATGTGTAAGACGTAGTTTACTGAATGACATCTACTTTTATATTTGTGGTTGTGTATGTATGTATATATTTAACTTTTTTTATATATATACAGTAAAACTCTCATACTTCCATGCACTTTTGTAAGGCAAGATTGAATCTGCAATTCATTTAAACATTTGCTCCCAATTATTAAATTTAAAAATCAGCAGCCAATTTCAAAATAACCCAATTATTAAATTTTAAAATATATCTTTCAAAAAACAAAAACAAAGAACTGAGTCAGAGACGTCCCCGCCTGAACACAAACAAAAAATATGTGCCTGAAGTGATACGGTGCCAGCAGACACGCATGTTGTAGGCAGGCACAGTATCATTTTCAACACCAGGTGATGTATGTGGAAAGACAAGACATTTGTCAAATATTCGCATTGATGTTTTCTGCACAAAGTGTGCACTTTTGGGCAGGCATAATCAATCTAAGACAGTGATTAAAACCAGAGCTCAGTCTTGCTGAGAAGCTCTTATTTTTGATGGGTAAAAGCAATGACAGTGCTGCAATTCGGAGCTTTGTATTCGCCATGCATACCTGTATTTTTGCAACACAATGGTGCTGATTGAAGATAGTGCAACCGCGCTGCAAGGAGCACAGTCGGTGTGTGTGCATGGGTTGTGCGAAAGGCTTTGTCCTCCAGTCAACTTGGATTGTTTGTGCATCTCTCCAGCTGCAGTCTATAGAAAACCAAGTCTTTGCCTCAAAACAAAAGACATCTTGTTGATTTTGCTTTTGTCATCTGTAAAAGTTCAACTTATGAAAAGTGAAATTAAAGTTTTCAGATCTCTTGGCATTTTCATGAGAAGAATTAAGAAAAATAAACAATATCTAACTATTATTAATACAATCAAGAATTAAAATGGTCAAATTAATACCAGTTTACCAAAGACACTCAAAAACAAATGCAATCTGTAAAAAACAAGAACTAGATAAAAAGTATTCACCCCTCATGCTGTTTTCCTTCGTTTATTGCTTTACAAATCAATCTCACCACCAAAATATGCCTTTATGAATATTCAACAAATTTACCAAAAAATAAAAAATAAAACCAGCTACTTTTGGATGTATGTGATTGTCTTCACCCTGTCCACCTTAAGAATAATCAAATCTGACCTGTTTGGATAATCTGTTGATCTGCATCTGATCTCCATTTTCAAACGTAGCGTCTTGTCTGGGGACCAAAGAACTTTCCCACAAACCTCTTTAGTCCAGCCTAAATTAGTTTTTTTTTTCAACTGTTGCATTTTCACTGCCACTCTCCCATTAAGTTTACAGTAGTAATGAACCCAGGCAGCAGTACTTGTATGCAGAGTTTCTCCCATCTCATCTACTGAAGTTTGTCACGCCTTCCTCGTACTCACTGGCGTCCTGGTGGCCTCGCTTACTGGGCTTTTTCCTCCACAGTCACTCAGTTTGTGTAAATAACCTGATATAGACATATTTACACATGGACCACATTCCTTTAATTTCTTGGTGATGAATTAAATTGAACTCCAGGGGATGTTTAGTGTGTCAGACATATTTTTTCTCTGACTACTGGGACTGACTATCTGTTTTTTTAAATGCCATTATTTTTGTAGAAATCTGTTTTAACTTTGACATTCAAGAAGGTTTTTGCCCCCTTTTTTTTATCACAAAAGCCAAATTTTGTTGATCACAATTGATTTGTACAGACAATGAAAAGAAAAAGAAAATTCAAGGAAGTTGATGCTTTTCACAGGCACTATTTCTGTCTCGCCAGGTTTAAGAGTTGTTTGAATTACTGGATGAATGTGATTCAGTCTGCCAAGTGGTACTTGTAGATTAACAGGTGGACTTTGGTGCCCCTGAAACAAGTTCTGAATGTCTGGAGGCACATTTGTTGGATTGCTTTTGAAACTGGGTTAGACATGCAGGAAATGTCACTAAAACATGAAGAGACCGCGAACAAATACTGTTTTCACATTCAAATATATATTTTTTATTAATTCTGGTGCATAACGACAAGTTCATATTTAATGCCAATCAGCATTTAAAGCTATGGTAAGTTATGAATACTTTTAAAGCCTTATGAATTTCTAGATTGGCAAAATGAGAACAATTTTAATTAAACATGTTCTCCTTTTTAGGAGCGACCTTAAGATGACCTTTTTGGTATCTGCATAAACATCTAACTTAACAGGAGTAAGATACATTTTGAATAGACCTAGAATTTTACAAGGGCATTTTAAAGTGAGTTAGAGAATAGTAGGTGAAGTAGGTTAAAGTCCACACCATAGAAAAGCCGACCTCACTGCTACATGTGAACTGGATATTTCTGTTTATGTACTTTTTATTGGGTTACCTTTTCGCATTGAATGAATGTAAGTTATTCAGAATCCAACAAAAAAATAGATGGTAATCATAAAGTTTCAAGAACAGTCATAAATATTCAAGTTGTTATTTCCCTTTGCTTCATTCATTCATTTGATTTTGCGGGCAGCAGCTGCAGGAGTCGGTACCCCAGCTTGCTGATTCTAGTTTGCAGAGTTTTATGCCCCTAAACCCCCACACTACCCCACCACCACACATACACAAACCTCCTTCTTCTGACTGTGACATATTTAGAGTTCATTGAAGGAATACATAACATTACTGGCAAGGCTGTCTGTGAAAGTAGGGCAAGGAATTCTGACACTACTGAGAGACTGTAGGATGCCTGCCACGATTCAGTGGAATAATTCATCGTAATATCCAAATCTTATTTTAGAGTGCGTCTCCGCTTTGGCTAAAGCTTAACTTATGCATTAAAGTTGTCTCATCAATCAAATTATGTTTCTAAAATCAGTTTGTATTTGACTTTTTTTTCTGTTAAGTTTGAAAGAAACATCTAAACTGAGAGTGCTTGACGATCAACACTTTTATTCTCTTCACCTTATTTTGAAATTACCCAGTAACCAACATGTTTAGGACAAAAAAAATCTTGTTTGATAGGTTCAGAGGTTAAGGGTGTCTCTAAAAAAAAAAAAAGAGAGACATGCACTCGATCAACAGATGCAAAGCATTTAGGCTTGATGGTGCATAAGCTGTTTGCCAGATGGCTTGGCTGATTAGAGAACGTATCCTTACAATGATGCATGATGATGCTTTTTGAAAATAATGTTCACCAGGTGCTGCTCCCTGAGTGCTGCAGAAGAAAAGAAAGTTAAACAAAACCGAAGAGAGAGAGAGGAGGGGGAAGCTGGAGATATGGAAAGAGGGAGAGGAGGGAGAGATAAACACAGTAAAAGGAAGGAAGAAACGGAGAGAGATGCGCATCCCGCTGGGTATATGTGGCAAAGAACACGCAGTGTCAAGGATGCTTTGTTTGGAATGAGAGAAGTGTGTAATCAAAGTCGCTCTAATGTTCTCCTGTATGGTGCTGTTCTGCAGTGAAGACATACAAGAT